ACGGCACAACATTTTTACAGCGATACAGAACCCTATCACTTCTGAGGTATACTGCTGTTTTTGCACAAGAGTGACTACACACATACTTCTGCGTGAAGTCAACGATTTACATAGTTGAAGATGCTAATTTCAAATAACAGACTAAAGTGGTAATGTTTATACGATAGATGGAGGAGATGAAAGTCTAGAGTTGATAGTTCCGTTAGAGTACGACAGTGTGAAAATTGCATAGATAGTAGATAGCGAGCTAGGACAACTTTTAAGGAAGGTACAAATCGGTTTTTTCATCTCTCTTTACCAAACTCCCCCTTTGGAGAGGGATGGTGAGGGGTGTGAACGCTTCATCTTTTTTTGCCAGTGGTGGCGGGGGGACACACACCCCTCACCATCACTCTCCAAAGGGGGAGTTTGGTAAAAAAAAACAGCTCAGCTGTCAAATATTCCAAAAGTGTAACACAGCAACATTTTTTTCCTTGATGCCTTCCTACCGACACCAGGAAGGCAGCTCCCACACCTGGACCCTACCTATCGACCCATCAACTCATGAACCGGGGACCAACGGGTTTACTTTCCTTTCGAAGGAAGGCGTGATCAGAGATGATATGCCTTAGAACATCCCGGCGGCGCCGACTGGGATTTAACCCAGGCCCTCTGGGGTGAGAGGTAATCATGCTTCCCACTACACCACCGGCACCGCTTACAGCCACATTTCCGTAATAGAAATGTAGACTACAAAAAAATACAACCGGAAAATAAATATCCTTAACCGAAGACTCAATTGAAGCCAGAATTAACTGGTTGATGTTATCGACATGATTGGCTGGATTATCAGTAGATTATCACTCAGGCTGTGCCGGAAGCACCTGTTAACCTACGATCTACGAAACAACTGTGAAATGGGGTGCCACCATGGAATGAACTAGTATAGAGGTTTGCGCTGGCAGGCAGTTTTCAGTTACTTTTCTGACTTCAGTTTTCTACACCTTATCTTGCGAACTTCCATCTTATTTGCTATTGTTTTATAATGTTGTCATGCAAACTAGGTCTTCAAGGAAAGATTTTGGTTCAGTGCTCGAAATTCCCAAAGCAGCTGTCAGTGGCGGTTATCCGTTTCGGTTGGCAAATATGACGCCAAATGCTAATTTTTCTCTGAATAGGCAATATGTGTTCGCCCACCTGTACGACTGCGTCATGTTTACCTGATATTTGTCAAATAACGTAAATATTTACTCGGAAGACAACTTCCTACAACAGTAAGCCAAGACCCACCGCAATAAGCTAATTTTGCGTGCCGGTCACAAAGTGATTTGTTTTTTGAAGGATAGTTTTATCGCCGGTAGTTGTCGCCTGTGTGAGCATGTAGGAAGGATCTCATTTTGAATATTTACGGGCAACAAAAGTTCGTCGTTCAAATCACCGTATGTGTTCAGCGCTTTAGTGATATGTATCTAGCAACTATCTATTGTTTCGTTTTAAAGGCATAAGTACAAGTACCTGTAAAAATGCTCGTAGTAATTGACGTATACTACAGCTACTCAGATTTACTGTTCTGTTCATGTGTTTAGTTAGAGGTGCTTCCTTTTGAAGATTATTTTGAAAAGTTCTTTTTGAACATTATTTAAGAAGCTTCTATTAAGAGCTTGCCAGTTGGTACACTACTATAACAAACACCAATATTTGCAGTCTGTGCTGATAAAAATCATTCCTTCCAAGGTGACTACATATAGGTGTTCTAATATGTCAAATTCATGATTCAGCCATGTTGAATTTTTGTATGGGACAGCGACCGAGTTTGTTTACAATTTGCTCTAAAACCGCAGTTCCTCCCCCCCCCCCCCCGCGACCTCCTCGCCCATATATTATACCCACCATGATTCCTTCTATACTCAACTTAGCTGAAAATGAAGACAACCTTAGCAGATAGACCAACTACCTGCGTGAATTTGAATTTTGACATAAACACATTCTCTTGATCCAGGCAACCTCTGAGCAGAGACGTTGATAGAGACGCGCAATGAAAATTTCTGTCTAAACAGCAGCACAGTTTTTGAAGGATTGCTTGACAATGTCACTGGCAACCATGTTTCTTCGAGTAGCTTCAAATGACTTTCATACAGTGCCGCAATGTTATTGAGAAAATTTGAACGTTCGACCGGAATTGACAACATTTTGCAAAAATAAAGCGAAGACGAGAGATGACAGTCGCTCCAAAATAATTTTTATTACCATAAACTAAATAAAACGTTCCGATTGGAGTTTTTTTTTAATCACTACAAAGTTTTTGAAATTGAATCAACAATAAATAAATAAATAACAGATATCAAATATTTCGTGAAAATAATTCAACATGCTATCATCATTGAGAACAATACTCTTTGCTGGTGAATTGAGCGAACAGTAATATTTATTTACTTTACTCGTTTGGTTCAGCATTTGACGCTTCGTTTGGTTCTTCTTGCTTCAGTCTATGCGAGTCTCTATTTAACGTCTCTGCCTCACAGATTGATGGAAAATTATTGCCTCATGCTGAATTGTTGATAACATCGAGGTTTTAGGCTCTGGAGTCGACAATATTAAAAATAATCATATTGCCCTAAATGAATATGATTATTTTGCTTTTGAGGATTGCTGCTGATATTGATAATTTTGGGCTGGTTAGTCAAGCAGTGGTGAATATCAACAAACGCGTATTCGTTGATGTTTGATGAACCCATTTGTTCGTTGTGCTCGTACTTCACAGCGAAGATATTCACCACTGCTTGAAATTGGGTTGGAGTGCTACACCTTGCGTGTGATGATAAATGAGACAAACAGGCACTGCTTGCAGTACAGTAAATCTGAATTGCTACGTAGTGGTGAGGTGCTGAGATGGAAGACTGGTGCAACGTGAGCGATATTTTATGGGTGGGACTCGGGCTCGATCATATTCGAAAGTCCAAGAAATAATTCCAAGAAGGTAATTCTATTTCCATGCCATCGTTTCATTAAATTTCATTAAATTTTATTGTAGTCATTTAAACCAATACCAACAATCAATGTTTTAGTAGCACGACATGCACTAAACTAAGGACACACGATAAACCACTACACATCAAATTACTGTTTTAGGTCGTTTGCTATCTTCGGGCTTGGGTTCACATGAGAGAGACACTGTTGAATACGATTATGCGCGAGTGTCATTGGGTGTACGTAGAGGAGGAACCAGTCCGATTACGTTTGTGCAAAATCTACAAGATCATGACTAGATCTGAAGGGCCGATTCAAACATGTCCTGCACCATATGTTACGTCTATTTGCAGCCTAATTGTGGGATTATTATCACTAAATTCTTCAATAAGAACACAATTCCATGACTTCCAGATCTTTTGTTTGCTTTTTCCATAATTCCTCACTTGACATCAATGAAAAACGCATTCGACAGATAGGCAGGCTTTATGCCTTCTACGAATACCGCAACTTTACACCATTCAATGAATAAATCATTTTTATACTAAGTTCGTATTCTCTCATTTTATATAGACCTATGCGTCGGGCAGGAGAGTTGCGATTTAGTGCAACGTGAGCGATATTTTATGGGAATGGAACGAGTGCTCGATCATACTCAAAAATCCCAGTTGAATAATTCCAAGAAGGTAATTCGATTTCAATGCCATCGTTTCCATACATTTAATTGAATGTTATTGTCATCACTGGATTCGAACGAATACCAACAATCAATGACGACATGCACTAAACTAAGGACACACGATAAACCACTACACATCAAATTACTGGTCGCAGTGGATTAATGCCCCGTTCAGAGGAAAAAAAAAATATACAAACAAGGTGTTTGTAAGGATGCTTGCTATGAAGAAGATTGTGGGTTCTATCCCGGGTTTATTCTGATCATGAAGATGCTTCCTAATTTGTTTCTAAACATGACCACATGATTTAACAAAAAGATTCATGTGACCGGGCTTCAATTATCGTCGTTCGTTATGGTTTGTTGTGGGAGCTCAGTGTTCTACTAGCAACCGTTTTTTCTTACTGCACCAGCAAATGTAGGTTGCCTGTAGATTTGCGTTTTAGCGTAGGGAATTCAATAACTTTGAAAAACTTCTGTCATAAAAATTACATGCACTACTTGAATACATACACTCAATTCTGTTTTTATGCGTTTTTTTTTTCTTCACCTCTATTTTTGATCGTGAGATCTCAAATTTCACCAAAAACTAATGCAACTTCACACTACGAAAAATTCTTGAAAATTTTGGTGCCCTGAGACCAATACATATAAGCGGCCCTTTTGACATAAGAATCAGTTGAAAGAAACGAGAAAATCAATTCAATCAAACGTTTTCTTCGTCGAGTTGCTTGTGAGAACACTTATTTTTATATGAAATGTTTGTTTACGTTCCATAATTTACGTCCAATATGTATTACGTCTTACGTAAAAGTAGTTATTGCTAAGTGTGTTCTTTTAAAAAAATCAAAAAAAAAATAGCAATGGTGCGATTCAAAATGCTGAACCCATTCTGCATTAAGGCAAATAAAAAAATCACGAGAAGACAGAAATAAATTTACTCAGCCATTCATGATCATATAAACAATTGAAAAAGTACTTTAATTTTTTGTCACTGATACATATAAATGGAGTGTCATATATCAATACAAGCTTACATTATAGATCGTGTAAATGTATGAGACATTTCATGAAATATTTCAAATATGGTTTGCAACCATCCATCTTTGTAAGCAGCATTTCTTTCAAGTTGCTAGTTTACATGGAAAGGAAGTTAACATGCATGCATATTTACTTAACCATTAAAATTCAGAGCTTTTTCTGTGTACATTTAATTTATAATTTTTTCGACCAGCAAGCACATTTTTCAGTTATGAGCTTTTTTGGAGTAAACAAAAATCACAATGTTATGTCTTATTTGCCCGGCACTGTACAACGGTAGATGGGGCGAAGCCATCAAGTGGACGAAGCCTCCATTTTATGCAGTGTTTGCACTTACCATCGAATTGTTGGAGAAGCATACACCTTTTCCGGAGCAGTCAGCATTTTCACCGCAATTATCCGACTTGACCGTCACTTTTAGACGTACGCACTGATGACCCCACTGTTCCGAGACCACTGCAAGAACAAAAGGAATACAAACACACCAAGATTAGAGTTAGGCGGAAGGTTGGTGGAGTGATGCTGTACTTATATGCATGTGAGGTTAATTGAAAGTCGATTTTGGGATAGTTAGAACCTGCTGTGATAATAATGGAGGTATAAGTGCAAATGGAGATTGTCGGCTGTGATCATAGCTGCTTCGGAATGCTCAGAAGAGATCAAATATTTTTGCATGTAGAGCACAACACAGTGTTTGATGGGTTGTATTAGGTAATTGTTTGATAACAATGCTGACGTCCCAGTATTCGAGTAATTTTTATGTATTTTGTCGTCCAAAGTATACAGAAAATGAATGCATCAATAATTAGTATACTTGTCTGTACTTATCTCTGGAACATAATACCCAATCGAGGTAAAATTGAATAGAGTTGCATTAGATTCTGACACGAACACACACACTCAAAGACGTAGTCCTATATCAAAATTAAGATCTACACATCATCAAAGCCAGCTGTTGAATTGTCAACTGTAATCTAACAAACCATCTATCAACATCGGGTCCGAATAACGTAAATTGCTCTCTCCAACAACACTCTCATCATCGTCCTAGTCGCCGGTCGTCAACGTTATCATCATAATAATCATCATCATCATCATCATCATCATCACCATCATTTTCGAGTTGTGCACAAGGAAGCATTTAGTTTATCCGTCAGCTCAGTCAGTGTCTGTGATGCTTGATGCTTGCTGTTTCACTTTAACAGACAGAAACGGTTTAGTCGGAAGGAAGCACAGAACCAGCAAATGACACAATAATTAATGTTCCGACGTTCCGGATTAAAGAGCATGGCTTATGGTAAAGGACGGCCGGTGCCGGAGAGGTGCCAAGTGGTCTATTTATTATTACAGACATCGACATCGAAACACAGAGACACAGAGGTTTGAGTTTAGTGACAAGTCAGTCAAATTGAACTTACCAATTAGCAGATTAATTCCTTCCGTCAGGTCCTTATCGTATAAGGTGACCAGCTTCTTGCCGTCCACTAGCAGTGGGGTGATGTCGAGCAGGACTCCCTCGGTGATGTCACAATTTTCGTGCCCAAGCCGTGTCACCTGGTAGACTGCCGGTGTCGTATGATGGGCACTGATTTTAATTGGAAAAGTGCAAGCGTGAAAGTAGGAAAAATGGAATGACATGAATTATAGGTAGTTGCTTGTACGGTGAGATGTTCATGACTTGCTGAAAATTGAAAAATGTGTATAAGTAAGCTAAGGTGAAGCTTTCAAAAATATGCTGACTGGCTGCAACTAGCTGTAGTGCTCAAAATTAATAAATTTCTCATTAATTGATTATCTGGAAATTTCTCGAAAATTGGTGTTTGGTACTTAACACATGATCACTTATGTTAGCTGACTTTAAGTTTATCTTTTAACTGTGTTCAATTAATAACATATAAAATAGCTGACATTCTAGTATTGAATGTTGTAAGAATTGAAAGCTCAACCATATTGTGCCATAGTAACATAGTACTTATTTTAAACTTACAGTAGGATAGATATAGCGCCATTTACACAATTCAGAGTGTTAAATTTGAATTTGCAAACATTACCATTTGTATATTGTAAGTATACCAGTTATGGCTATACGTTCCTATTATGGTGTACTGCTATTGTGGCCTATGGGGGTTCCATAACTGGTACACCTACCCTATTTATATTACTGAACATCAACAGGCGTTATTTGACCCAATGATGTAACTTAAACTAAACATGAAAAGTACTAAAACAAAACAACAATAAGTACATAGATAGTCATCTCGTTAAAATAAAAGGAACATTACAAAACAAACTAAACTGATCTAGAAAAAAACGAACTAAACCTCCGGCGAAGCAGCTGGCGAGTCAGGTAAAAATTAAACAGTGCGGAGACCCTATTGAATAGTCTCTGTAAACCACCGATTGCACCGAACATGCTATAATTAGTTCGCTGTATGGGCAGTAGAGTGATGCAAAATTTGAAATTTTCGCTCCACAATACTTAAACGATTCCAAATCGGATCCTGACTAACCTCTCAAAATTTGAACCCATTTGGTGAGAAACTGAGATGGCACAAACCATTTGAAGTTTGTATGGGAATTACTATGGTAAAACCAAGATTTTTGTTCATGTCTATCTAATAATTCACCATATCGGTCTGCTTCAAAAGTTTTCAACTTTACTTGTAGGATATTCAGCTACAACTTTGCTGAAGACCACTTTCTGATTAAATGCAAGCATCGAAAGTTATTAATGGTTCAATGCACTGATGTCCTATGATCATGCTCAATCACCTGCTCAGCAGGCAACATTGGTGTTTCTGGGGCGTTGAATAGGACACAAAAATCATGGCTACTATGTCACACTGCAAAATACAGTTTTGCCTACACGGAGAAAAAATACTACCCAAAATTTGAGTTCTTTTTACTTAATATTGACTTCAGCCTCTCACTTGCACTCGTTATTGTTGTCAAAAAAGGAACGAGAGATTCGACCCAGCGATATAGTTCAGCCCAATAAGTTACTTGTGAGTAAATTGCATATTCTTAAATTTGCGTGAATTAAACTTAATTTTGGGTAGAATATACTTAAGAGTAGGTAATTTTTTTGCTGGTGTTAAATGGAAACTACTATATGCGATTTACTCAAATTTGGGTTATTGGGCTGAACCCCGGAATTGAGGGAAAAGTACTTAATTTTGGGTTGTTTTTCATCTCCGTGTACAGAGCAGCTGCTTGATCATGTCATAAGTTTACCAATCTCTTAAATAATTAATAACTATTTCCTGTCTCGTTTTACATAGAAACAATCTTGAGCAAAGTTGTAGCTGAGAAAATTTTCTATAAGAATCGCTATCGAGCTGTTTTGCAGCTCAATATGGAAAAAAGACTAGAAGGCAATGAACAAAAAGTTGAGATTTCCCATAGTAATTTACATGTAAACTTCAAATGGTTTGTGCGAAGTCTGTTTCTAACCAAATGAGTTGTAACTTTTGGAGGCTAATCACGACCCGATTTGAAACCATTTAAGCACTGTGGAGCGAAAAAGTCAAATTTTGCATCAGTCTAATGGGCAGGCGCAGCATTGAATTATTCCGTAAGGCTCGGGGTTGAACATTGATGTCAATTTGCTCAAGGAGGACAGGGCAATCGGTGCGTCCTTGCAAAATATCCGCAATTAGCAATGCCCTTGCTGTATCTCTTCGGACCGACAGGCGCTCCAGATGGATCAGTTGCAAACGACTTTCGTAGCTAGGCAATCGGAAGGGATCCGTCCACGGCAGTTTACGTAGCGCATATCTCAGGAACCGTCGCTGAACAGACTCAACTCTTTCGACACCGTTGTTGTATTGAGGAGTCCAGACAACCGAGCAGTATTCTAATATGGAGCGAGACAAGGAGCAGTACAACGATTTAAGGCAGTAGATACCCGTGAAGCATTTGGCAATCCTGAAGATAAACCCTAGAATTCTGGAAGCATTGTCGATGGCGTGCGAGATGTGCTGCTTGAAAGAGAGTTTTGTATCCAGAATCACGCCTAGGTCCTTAATTTGGCTGACGCGCTCAATTTCAGTGCCTAGCAAAACATACTTGAACATAATAGTCTCTTTTTTGCGCGAAAAAGAGATAACCGAGCATTTGGACGGGTTTACCTCCATACGATTCAGAATACACCAATCACTAAAAGCATTCAGCTGACGTTGAAGGAAGCAACATCTGCGTAAGATAATCGTGGTCCCTCAATTACCAGATTCACGTCGTTGAAATAAATCAGGAAAATCAGCGGTCCCAGGTGACTACCCTGGGGTATGCCGGATGTGGCAGCGAACGTAGGGACTGGTGATCACCAATGACAACAGTAAGATAGCGATCGGTGAGGTACGACTGAAACGATTGCAAAAGGCAGCTGTGAATACCAAGCCTGTCCAGTTTAGCGATTGATATGCGTTGATGCAATTTATCGAAGGCAGCAGATAAGTCAGTATAAATGACATCCGTCTGAGCACGATCCAACATACTGTTAGAGATGTAGGAAGTAAGGCACAGCAAGTTAGTGGCAGTGGAGCGACCTGCCATGAAACCATTCTGGTCGATACTAATATACGGCTTACAGTGAGCGAGTAACGGTTCCATAACAACAAGTTCGAACAATTTAGCAACAGCGCTTAGCGAAGTAATGCCACGGCCGTTGAAAAACGTGCAGCAGTGGAGACAACAAACGGTCCAAGTGCGTTTTGAGGAACGCCGATGGAATTCCGTCAGGACCCGGATCGTTCGACGACTTGAGTTTCGAGGAAGCCCTGAAAATCATCTCGGGATTGATGTCAATTCATGGTTTGGCCAGAGAGTGGTACGTAACTGGCAGCCAGTCGGGCATGGTCGTCACTCAGTCTCTCGTCCGTGAAGACACTAGCAAATTTTTCAGAGAACAGCTGACAGATATCTTGCGTAGATGAGGCTACGTTACCATTATGTGTCATAGACGACGGCAGACCAGCTTCATGACGTTGTTCGTTGACAAACTTCTGAAACTGCTTGGGACGTGACTTAAGCTTTCTCTGCAATCCACGTCGATACTGAAGAAAGCACCGTTTTGCAACTCGTTTGTATGCGTTATTGATCCTGACATAGTACCGTTGAAGGGATAGTGTGCGGTGCTTGGTGAACTTCCTAAGAGCGGCTCTCTTTCTGGATTTCAGTCGACGAAATTCGCTCGTATACCATGGCCTAAGGCTAAAAATCTCTCAAATAAAGTCTAAAAAAAAAGCTCGTATGCCATGGTGGATGGGTCGTATGATGATGAATCTTTTTCGGAACGTGTCTGTCAATGATATATGCCAAGACATTGGAAATAGTTTTAGCGGTGGACTCAATGTCAACGGTGTCCAATAAGTCGTCCCAATATAAATTGGAGAGTAACTCGGCGATACTACCATGGTCGGCGTTGCGAAAATCGTAGGAAACGGTGGCAGGTGAAATATTAAAATCATGCATCAGCTTAGTACTTAACGTCACCAGTAGCGGCGGGTGGTGACGATCCAGTCTCACCAGAGGAGTGGGCGCCTCGCATAAGAAAGGAGCCATGTCCTGGTCGCTTACAAAACAAAGATCTAAACTGCGGTTGTTCTGGTTAATAACATGGTTGATTTGAGTAAGAGTGGCTCAGCTGTAATTGTGCAGAAGGAGCAAAGCGTAGGAATGGATGACAGAGTGATCCATGTCAGGATAGAGGAAACCGTTGCGAGTTTTTATCCATGAAATCCCCGGGAGATTGAAGTCACCAAACACAATAACTTCATCGGTTGCATTGGCAGTATCCAGAACAGAGAAAACCGATTGGCAATGGCTTTCGATGAAGTCACGCTCCCGTATACGGTTGGGAGGAAAGTAAACCGCACAGAGAAACAAGGTACGATCGCCCAGTTTAATCGACGTCCACACCTGCTCTAAGCATGTCCAAGCATTATTTCTAGTAACCTCGCTTTAAACCTAGCCCTAAAACACCTCCACCTTTAACTTCCCGACTATTAGCAACATTCCTATCGCAACGGAAAACTTCATAATCGTCGCCGAACACCTGATGAGAGAGCGTGCGTGAATCCAACCATGTCTCCGTGAGAATAATGATGTCGTAGCAAAGATCCGAGGTAGCTACGCGAAAATCGTCGACGTCACAGTTGATACCACCGATGTTCTGATAATGCAGCAGCAAGTCTGAAGGAGCAGGAATAGTTTCAATACTATTGTTTGATTTCCGCATTTCTTTCGTGGACGTTTGCTATAAAAGTATGGTCAGATACTGTCAAGCCAATAAGGAACAACCATTGCACAAGTAACGGCAGACTCAAAACGGCAAATAAAACGAACATCCTCAAAGTTTTGTTTCGGACGTGTATGACGAAAAACTAATGAAAAACTCGACATAATAAAAATAATAATAATAATAAGTCACACTAATATCACTGGAGAGATTTTTTTTTTACCAAAGACCATTAAATTCACATGATTCTCGAGCGCCATCTGGTGATGGTATCCTTAAGTGATGTTTACACCATCTGATATATTTTATGCATTTTAACAATTTTGCTTAAGGTAGCACCTTTCTAT